TTTTTAATAATAGTATACAGCGGATAAAGTAATAGCATGACATGTTGTAGTTAGTTATTTCATATTTATTTTTGTTTTTGTTTTTTATTTTAAGATCTTTAAGTAATACTTTTAAAGCGTAAAAATTCATTCAAGAAAGAGAGAGAGAGAGAGAGAGAGAGAGAAAGAGGGAGAAAGTGAGAGAAAAAGAGAGAAAGAGTAAGAGAACGATATTAAGTGAAAAATATATATCAAACATTTCAATTTATTTTTTATGTATTTTTCAGTTTTTTTTTTTTTAATTTTACTTTTAATCTAATTATTTCTATAAAAAGTTTTGTTTTGACGTTTCCGTTGCATTGTGTTCGGTATCTTTAAAATTCTTTGATGTTATGGGTGGTCCCCGAGATTCAAATAGTGGCTTACTCATAGCCAATGCTGGATTCATATCGAGTACGGTACGCGGGCTTATTGCGACAATGCTAGCACCGATTGGACCTAAATGCAGAACGTAAATACACAAAATGACAAAAGTTGAGTTTTTTTTTTCTTAGGAAAGTATATAAAAAAAAAAATAAAAATTCATAAATATTTATCAAAAAACATATAAAAAGCTATTAACGGAAGCTCATAAGCAAAAATCATGCCTTATTAAAATATTTGCAGCTTAGTATAGGTAAACAGAAACATGCATTTTAATGCTTTGAAGCCAAGCGAAAAAGAAACATTTATTTAAAAAAATGTTAAATGAAAAGGAATGTGTTTTTTTTTTTTTTTTTTTTCAAATACCCAAGAAGGACTAAAGGAATTATTTTATTATGCAATAGCTCTCGTTTTGTAAACAGATGGAAACCGATCAATCGATCTAACTACCTTCTGTCCATATATCACGCTTGTCAATAATAGTAGTAATCCATGTAGTCTTTGGATATAATAATAAGGCGAACAATAAAATTAATATAAGTCTATCCTTCGTTCCGTATATGAAAGCAAAAGTAAATATAACCAATTTGCGACTGCCTTTAATTGCAATGACACGCTTATAAACAGACTTGATTGGCGATTTCAACCTAACCATTGAATTTAAAGTTCATGACATATTAAGCATTAAGGCTCTTATTCTCTCTCGGCATAAACAGAGATCATATTACTCCTTCTGATAGAATCATGCTTTGCGTAGTAATGTCAGGTACAATGCTCAAGCTCTTACTATTTGTGCAATTTGTACGAGCTTCGACTAAGTGGAGCATTCTGTGACTCGAAAGTGGTTAACGAATGTGGTAAATGTTACTTTGTCTGTTTAATACAAAGAAAATGCTGATAAATTCTGAGAGATAATATCCCTATGGAATATATATGGTGCTAAAGGGGACAAATTAGGATACGGATGACCTGTGGCACGAAATGCGGCTTACTTTTAACAGATAATATCCGGGTAGAATTTCTACGGTGCAAAATGCGGCTACATCCTGACGGATAATATCCGGACACCATATGTATGCAACAAAAAACATGCTGCCCGTCAAAGAAAAGAAGATTAACTAGATGCGATCGCTCCATCCCAACAGAAGCATTTCTGAGCACTACTACGGCCGATGACTGAGCCAATCGCGCAGATCATTAAAACAAAAGCGGTTACGGCTGCGTTCGTATTTCAAAGTATTAGGTCAAAGAAATTTTAGCATCACTGAACTGGAACGTGCTATCAACCTCGTTATATTCGTTCCGCTCGTTCCGTTTTACTTTGCTTTACTGATCACTATTTGCCCTGTTAAGCAACGGCTAAATCTAGAAATGAATGTGGACGGAATGCATATTTCGCCAGAATGACGCTAGCGATAGCCGATATTTTCAATAAAAAAACCCGATAGCGACTTAGTTTCATAAAAGTGAACAGAAAAAGTTTCCTTCCTCAGTATTTTAATAAACTGGAAAAGAAGAAAAATTAGTGGGTATTTGATGTTTAAACCGAGTTAAGCCAATTTTTCGATTTTTTTTTTTTTTTTGCTTAACTATTGTTGATTTGTGAACTAATTTGAATAGGGAATGACTTCTAAGTAATATCTATGGTGAGAAATGTATTAAATGCCAATTTTCACGTAACTCTAAGGATTCTTTTTAAATCTAGATGAAATCAATCAGTTCTAAGTTTAGAAAATAAAAGGGATAACTTAATAAGATATGACGATGCTATGGGAGCATAAAAAAAAAGAGGGAAAAAGAGAGAGAGAGAGAAAGAAAGAGAGAGGTCTTAACACAAAAAACTAACGTTACTAAATTACTCTGAACTGCACTCAGTGTTTGTTCACACACACCCTCCCAATCAGTGTTTTCCTTGCCAACTTTATTCATTTTTTTTCTCTCAGTTTATTTGTTGTAATTTGTTGTAAGGCAGATGTGTTACTATAGGAAATTTTCAAGTGTCACTCTCTGGTTGTGTTTTCTTGTATAAAACATAATTTTCGTTTGTTTTGTTTCTTGAAAATTAAACAAAAAGTTCTTCTGTTGAATTGATTTAGTTAAGGTTATTGTGATTAATTGGTTTTTTTGTTTTGTTTTTCTTTTTTTTTTTTTTTTTTTAGTCAAAACCAAAGGCCACATCTGTAAGATATATAAAAAGGTTGATTAAAGTTGGTTTTAGTTAAAATGTTATATTGATAGAAAAAAAATAAAAATAAAAAAAAAAGTTTTCAAAGATGAAAGAAAGAATATTAAAAAGAACGAATAGATGAAAAATGCATGTAAAAAATATTGCACAATACAAGAAAATCTCAAGCAACGCAGTATGTTTTATTGAAATTGATTATTAAAGGATATAGAAATGAGAATATATGAGAATAACGCATTAAATATCTGACAATAAAATCCTACAAGTAGCAGTTAGCCGTAAACAAAAAAAAAAAAAAAAACAAATTTATTAATTTGGTGTCGCTCGCCGAATAATCGAAAGATGTCACGTTAGACATTCGTTTTGAATTAGAGTCTCGTGAAAAAGCTCTTAAAAAGCTATAAAAAAATGGTATTCCGACTGATCGGTCTCTTTATGGAAAACCTTCATACTTCTATGGATGGAAATCATTCCTAATTTTCCTTCCACACCTTAAGTTCCAGACGCCCTCAAAACTCAAATATTTTATATTTATTTCTATATGTTAACTTTAAATTTAAGAGCTAAGTGCTTATAAATATTTTTTTATTGATAAACTGAATGTAATTGCAGAGAGAAGAGATCTTATCATTCAAAGGTACGAAACAACAGATTTCCAATCATGAAGGCATGAAAGCTTCTTGACTTCGCCTTCATATCTTCGACCATCCGTCAGGTAAGGCTCAAAGGATGCTGGAAAAGCTCTTGCCACATGGTACGCCCAATAATTCGAACTGTGCAATGTTTATGTGTAGGTACTTCGATGTCAAACGTTCTACACAAAGAAAGGAAGTCTGTGCAGCAAGTAGTAGTCCATAACACACTAGCCTGGATTTGCGGTACAACTTAGCTATGGTTCTACTTTCCGATATGTAACCATTTAAGTCACACATATACCAAGTCCGTCTTCCCTATTTGGAGGCATAAATAGAATTCGAACTGAAAAATTCTTATTCTTGCCGCACTTCTGCTTGATCGTCAAACTTTTACGCGTATCAGACAAAAGAATGGAGCGATGTCTGCATCGATCTCTGGAGTATAGCTGACAAAGCCGTCAAGCTATCGGGGGAAGTAATCAACAAAAGTCTACCTAATAGTCCGATTAGTGCGAATATAATGCAGTTAAGTTACAAATTCAATGGATGGATTTCTTTCAATATCAATCCGAGCGTAAATTTCACCGTTCAATAAAGTTAAAAAAAAACAATCGATATATATATATATATATATTCCTACATAGGGATGTCCGAAAATCTCACTGCCGTTAGATCGCTACTTAGATCGATAATGAAAGTGTTCAGTCTTTCAGGCGATATCCTTTTTATATGTAACACGTTGCCGCTTAGAAAGAAATCAGGAAGGGGAAAGAAACAGAGAGTGGCAGTAGTCGGAAAGGGCGTACCGTGTGACCGGTAAACATTATGGCTTTGCAGACTCAAAACTCATTAGATCTACCACAATGCGGCATTCGTAATTAAAGTATAGTCTACCTTCACCGGAATTGAACCCAGGTTATGCTGTTATTGCCTGCACCCTCTTCCCTCATACATTACAACAGATTCAACGATGGAAATTTGCATATGCAGGCTAACAACGGTCTTACAATATCTGCAGATTACCAAAACACAATACTATAGAGCATCGAGATTTAATTATCTGTTTTTTACTATTTTTGTAGGATAAGATTGGTGTGAATATGAAAGATTCGACCACAGCCGGATATAGTTTTCTTATTGCTTTCTTTTGAAATTGTTGCAGTTTTTATTTGTTTCCTTTCTTTCTTTTTGACACGTCAACTCGCTAGAAAGACTTGTCTTTTCAAAATTTATTAAATACTTATCGCGAAATAAAGCATTTTAAGTTTAAAAATGATTATCGGCTTTTATTGCTGTTTAGGGGTTTTTTTCTTTCTTTTTTTTTTTGGCTGGCTATTGTTGAAATCTCATATATTCTTACGGTTTAGTGTGAAATTAATTTAGAGAATGTGTATGAAATGCTTAAAGAGCTGTGAGGATGAAATAAACAAACATACACGCACACGCAGAACGGCACATTCACACGCACATCAAAACGAGTTTTTTTTTTTGCTTTTTTGAAATTATCCATGAATTTGAAGTAAAAACGGTTGGACGCAAGAACCAACACATACCGCATATAAAAAGTTGAGTGTTACGCAATTTGGAAGTTCCCTCCAATTGGATAGTGATATTGATATCATTTATTTATATAAGTGTAATTAGTGTATAGGAAGGAGTAGTATTGATGCTTTTTTATTTTTAGAAGTATATATGTAAAGATATATTCGATATTTTTTTTTTTGCATAAAAATAATCAATAATTTGATTAGAGAAAGTATTTTTTTTTTTTTTTTTTTTTTTTTTTAAACACATACGTACAAATGTATCCTGTACTAAATCCGTGATGTCTTTCTATTCCTTTTCTTTGTTTTGTTTTGTTTTTCTTTTTGTTTTTTCATGTGTCCTGATACGAATATTAATTTATATATATGTTATAGTTATTAATAAAAAGGGAAATTTTTTGCGCTAAGGGTCTTTGCCCGTCAGCGTATCATTGTGAATTTCGCGCTAATGCGCTAATGCGGTTTTGGTAATGCCCGTTAACGTATCATTGCGAATTCCGGATATTGTTTTTTTTTTTATTTTATTAAGCTTTGGTTTCGTTTAGATTAGATGTTAGAAATCGGATTTTGTTGACTTTTTTCTGAGGCGGTGTTGTCTGTGATGCTTTGTATGTTGTTATTGTTGACGATGAATCATTCGAGGAGGTAGACAAAAGCCGATGCTGCTGCTGATGTAGTTGCTGTTAATTTCAAAGTAGGCTTGCCATTTTACCTTCACGATTCTTGCTAAGCATAGCCGTGTATTCATCTATATTCATATATATATTTATATATAAATATATATATATATGTATATATATACATATTCATGTGTGTACATAAGTTTTTACAAAAATTTACAAAATAGAAAATAATTTTAAAAAGATAGAATTAATTAGTAAAGCTGCAAATGGAGCAACATAGGAAGAATCATAAGAATTTTTTTAAAAGATTCCTTAGTTTCTTGTACAAAAAAAAAAAAAAAAAAAAAAAAATCTAAGAAAAGAAACGAACAAATTCCTATTTAAAGCCAAGCTAAGCGCAAACGGTATCACACGCGTTTATTCAAGTAAGTATTTTTTTTATAAGTGAAATTTTCGATTTTCAGCTTAGCCTTTTTATTTATCTATTCGCCTTTTTGCTGTGCTCTGTGATTAACATTTAAGTTATTAAGTGTGTTAACAGTGGCGGCGGTTTTACGTAAAGAAACGATTCTTTTTATGAATAAATTCTATTTACAAAAATATACAAATGTTTTAAGGTTAAGTTTGCATCATTTATTCCATTTGAATTTGATATCCCTTTTTTATGTATTTTTGCCAATATACTTCACTGGTGATGTTCCCTGAGTTATGATTTCTATTTTTAAACATTTGATGTGTAAAAGACACATTTTAGATGAAACTTACCCGATTTAGGACTCACTAAATCTTTGGTCTTATTATTCATGCGACGTGGTCCGGTACCACCAGAGCCCATGGGTCCAGAGTTGGGACCGGAACCAGGTGTACCACAAGCACTCACAGCTCCTGTTTGACAACAAAAGTAAAAAGATAAAAAAAATATATTCCACCTTCCATTTTAACGATAACATGCAGAGAAATCAGAAATCAGAAAATATTTACGTATTATAAAATTCCTCATAACTTATTATTTAAATTTTATTAAGATATTTTTTGATAAATTTTAACTTTTATAAAATAGAAAAAAAAGGCTAACAATGCATTTTCTTTTAGACGCTTTGGCGCTTTTTGTGCGCCATGTATGTGTTCACTTTTATTTGTGTCACGTTGGGGCTTTCCGTTTAATAATTTCCGTTTAATAATTTAATTAAAACTCGAAAAATAATCGGTTGGGTGAACGGGAAAAACAAACAAAAGAATAAGGGGACGGATATACAGATCGACTAACAAATAGCCGCGTACCAGGCAACCAAATGTAACTAAACGAACGTTTCGATGTTTGTCGACACAAAAAAAAATACTTGTATTTGTAGACGTACATATATATATATATATGTAAACATATACAAGCACGCGAGTGTATATCTGTATATGTATATATATATATATATATTTGTGTGTTTGTGTTGTTGTTGTATTACTGTATGTATATGCATACATGCATTCTGGTCTTTACAAACAATATAACAAATTAGCATTGTCCCATCACGCACGGGGATGGGTTTAACGCAGCGTATGAGTATTATTTTAAAACGAACACTACACTTTTAAATGAGTTTTGGTTTAGTAGTATTTAAAATAGTTTCTGAAAACTAAAAATGAAGAAAAATAATTTCCTAACTTACCTGGCAATCTGGGTGGACGGGGCTGTTCGACCGGAAGTACACGTCTTCGTTTCTTTGGCAGTTTTGCACGTGCTTGTGTGTGTGAATAGTACATAGCGAAATTACTAACAATAACCGGTACTGGCAGTGCAATTGTTAGGACACCGGCTAGAGCACATAAAGCGCCCACAAACATACCGATATAAGTTTTTGGCACCATATCACCATAGCCGACTGTGGTCATAGTAACTAATGCCCACCACAAACCTAACGGTATACTATTGAAATCGTTATGCGGATTCGTTTGTATACGTTCAGCATAATAAACCAGACTGGCAAATATAACGATGCCTAAGACTAGGAAAAATACCAGTAAAGTTAATTCCTTGGCCGAAGCTCGAAATGTTTGTATTAAGATTTTCAGGCCCGACGAATGACGTGTAAGCTTAAATAAACGCATAATGCGTATAATTGAGAAGAACTCCAAGATGTCAGCGTTCTCCAAATGTGAGGCGAATCGTTGAAGCACTAAATCAATATAAAAGCTAAGTGTGGCTATGTAATCGATTATATTCACAGATGATTTGATGAATTCGCATTTATTAGGTGACGATATAAAACGGACCTTGATTAGGAAAAAAAAAAAAAATTAAAAAAAAATTAAAAAAACAAAAGATAAAATTAATAAATAATAAATTAGCCATAAACATTATTATCGTACCAATATCTCGAATGTGAACCACGCATTGCAAACGCATTCAATGTAAAAAAATGCTATATGAGCATTTGTCTGCGTTTTATCTAAGAACCAGGCCGAACTGCCATTGGCCGTACGTACAGTTATATTGCGTACAAAAGGTACACGCATATCAGGATGGGTTTTCAAGCAAAACGATAATATTGAAATGCATATGAAGAATACCGAAACGACTCCAATAATCTGTAAAATCAATGCAAATATACAAATAAAAAACAAAAAAAAAAACAAAAAATATTGAGCTTTTTTTATCAATTTCGTTTTACACAAACAATTGCATATATATAAAAACCTTAGCTGCATTGGAACTATAGGGTTCATCAAAAAGTGACCATATGCGTGGTTTCATTTCTTGCCACCATGATAATGTACCTTTGTAGTAGTCTTCTTCGAAACCAAATTTACGAGCTAACTCCTCTTCGGACGGTTTTTCTGTATCCAAATCTAAACGATCTAAAACGGCTAATGTCTCTTGAGTGTCGCGATGCTATAAAAAAAATTAAAGGCAATCGAATGTAAATTTGAATTTTTACATAACTTGTATAGTAGGGTATTGGGGAACCTGCGTATACGTCATCCAACAGCATGGTTCAACTTGATTTGAATCTAATCCCCAAAATTCTAATTCCTCTTCGAAAAGTGGTCCACAAACATCCGTTGGATAATGCAATTTGCCCGTTCTGGATGAAACAAGAAAATATCAATATTTTTAATTGTATGACTGTAACAGAAGATTAATCGCTTATCATTACATCGTATCATTTCTCGACCGAGATCTATCAAGTTCTTAAATAATTCTATAGAATAGTTTGATTATTTTAAAAGAACGCTTATGATCGCCTATCAAAGCAGGAAACAATCGAAACTCTCGCTTAACAATATTGATTTTGCAAGGCCCACTAGTTCATATGAAATGGATGGCTCTGAGCTGAACTGACGTAGCATGTATAGAATAGTCTTAGGATTGTTGAAATGGTAAACTAGCTAATATATCTTATAAAAAGTCCTACAACCTCTGCATTTGTTTGAGTGGAGCAACCACTCACGGTTGTATTAGTTTTCTAAGCAACTCTAGGGACTGATGGACTTCGGCAGATCTACATCAACAATAAAGTATGAAGTCACCATTACGTACATATTAGCGCTTTCGGTCAAGAAGGGATTTACCTAAGATGTTTGCCTTTCTTGCACTCCTCCATTTTGTGGTCCCCTCACGCATAACCGGCCTGAAACTTCTCAAACTTTCGTTTCCAAAACTCTGAGAAGTACATAAAGCCTAAAGCCTTTTCACCCTTACGATGTTTATCTTTGATAAGATGTGCTATCCACTAGAATCTACAGATAGAAGCGTCTGCCTTCAATTCGAAAATCCATAAAAAACTCTTATCCACGTACTGATTTTGTAGTTAACAGACTTCCATAATTGCACGACCGTGAAAGAAAAAAATACCTTTCAAATGAGTTTTTCTCATATATAGCGCTATACCGTCTTAATGACGAATAACTGAATAAACCCAGATTTCGGGGATGAGTAAGAAAATATATATCACACAGTATAATGGGAATTGCTCTGGTACCTTCATAGAGACACAATAGATGGCCCAATCAACTGTTTGTCTATCATATTTTCGAAACTGTATTTCTTTTAAGTAAAATAACATAAGTAACATAATTATCGAGAAAATTATCAATGAAAACATGAACGTATGTATATTCACGTAGTGCCATGCCTTCTCAAAGGCAACGGACGACAACCAGGACAGCAAATTTTTCTTGATTGAATTGAATATGAACAAACTAAAAACTTATGAACGGACAAGCCTGGCCATAAATTAGCCTACGTCACATCACAAAACTTCACAACCCGACGTTTTTAGTATGTGGGAGATCGTAAAGACGGTCATTCAATAAATAGGAGATGAGATTATAAGCTGCTTCAATCTGGCTGGATGAGTGATTCAATTCTCTTTCAACCGCCAAGTAACACGATTAAAGCACACTACAAAGAAAAAGTGCCCGAAGTTAATCAACAAGAAAGGCCGCTCAGCCTAACACAAAAAGATGATAGACTACAAACATACTATTAAGACATATTATTAGGACATATTATTCGGCAAATTTTGATCCATCTATTGCATAGCTTGGCCCTCGCCATACACCACTAGCACTTAATTCAGTCGCCGCACAGATCTTCTAAGGACGGAAAGCCGACTACAAGAAAAGATCAAGTTTTCGCCCAAAAGCTCCTGAAAGTTCTGCAGCGAGGATCTAATTATTTTACCTGATTAGAATGGCATTTATTTAATGCAATAAAGTTTTCCCCTTACCTAACATAAATCCTATCCATATTTGCCGGGATTATTCTCTTACCTGTAATAATTTAAAACTTGTGCAAATACGCCAGGATGCCGATCAAAGAAGTATTCATTCAGAATTGGATCGTAATTGGCTAACGCCTCGGTGAGTCTTGATAATCTTGTGGCTGGAATTTTTTTAAGTGTAGCCTTATAGGTTTCGTGTCGTATGCCGCCCACATTCAAAACAACCCGATTTTCCGAATCCATATTTATCAAATTCATAGCTGCATGTGAGCGTGAATAATAGGAATTTTTTTTCGGTATATAAGTCATGACTGCGAATAAAACGGAACAAAGGAATAACTATGAGATATGTTATAACAAACCTTCCTTTCCAAGCCAGCTAATAATAAACGATGTCGAAGAAGTAGTAGAGAACTTCAATGATATAAATGATAGATGCGTTAAAAGTTTACTAGTCTTCTAGACTCCTACTAGCGCAACGATTAACGGCGGCGGCAGCAGCAGCAGCAGCAGCAGCAGCAGCAGGAGCAGCAGAAGCTTTATACTTAAAACCTCATCTTATACATAGATTTACGTGTATTTATGTATGTTAGTACGTCAAAGCTTATTTGCATGTAATAAAATGTATTAGCTGTCAGGCAAAAACATCTTGATATAGTTTTTCTGTTTTTTTACATCGAGTTACACGTTACTTTTCTTTATTTATAGCTCCTGTAAGGGGAAATGAGAATTTATTGTTACACTTAAGTGTACGTACACACAAAAACACACACAAACGCACACATACACACACAAGCATTTGTAAAAAGAGATATTGCATTTTTGTTATTGGAATTAATAAGAAATTTTAGTGTTTTTCTTGTCTTTTTTTTTTTTTTTTTTTGTCTTTTTCTTTCAACGCAAAGCAAAACTGTATATCTGTCGTTTACCTTTGAAAACAACACGTGGTTGATTCTTTTTTTCTTTAAGGTTAATGAACTGAACAAAAATGCGCGATACATAAACGGATAAAATAAAGAGAAGAAGAAGAGAAGCGAGAGAATACAAATTTAATTTTTTTTGTTATGCCTTCGTTGTTTTTGGCTTTTTTACTTGAATTCTGTTCACGCTATCTCCTCCATACATACGCATTCACACAACCATATACAATTATCCTTAAATTATTGCACCCCATGCAATGCTCTGCTAAGCTGTCGACCTGCTTTATTTAGCATGAAAGCTGTTGCTTTCTTCATATGTCTCATGATTTACATCAGCACTGTTCGGTAAGGAAAAGAAAATGCGCGTTTTACCGAAAAAAAAAAAATAAAATGAAAAATGAAAAAAAAAAAAAATGAAAAATGAAAAATATTTTTGAAACATTATGCGCATGTTTTGCTATATTATATATGAAAAATTAAAATGATTTTTACAGCCTTTTATTAAAATTGAATAATGAAAAAAAAAGAAAAAAGAAAACTTATAACCATATTTAGTTCTCACAATTTTCTAAATATCTTGAATCATTTTAATAAGAAATTCTATTTTTATAGAAATTTTATCTGATAAACATAAACAATATTTAATATCAACAAATATTAAAAAATGCAACAACAATATATTGAAAAACGTCTTTATTAGAAAACTACAAGTATACACGCTAGCGCCAATATTTTGAAAGCGCAGCAAGAGGTGCACTCACATTTACACAAACTAACGATGTAACAATGTTTAAATAACAATTGTTTGATTTCTTAAAAACGCATTATCATAAGCTTTATAACACAACATACCAAAATGGAACAGTTAACCGTCTTCTAACGTATAAATCATATACATATGAATTTGATGAATATGTAAGATTGCGGAGCTTTAATAAGAAGGGGACGCATTCATATTTAAATGTATTTACACGAATTTTGTTCCCAAAAACTCTTAGAGATCCAATTACAAGTGATTAAGTTTAAAGGACATTCTATTTGAAAAATAAAAATCATAATCCATCACTCATTAAACAAAATTAAGGTAAAGTATTTTGTTAAATGTAAAAATAACAGTTAATCAAATGAGTTTCTTAATTGACTTTAAGAAGTATTTGTTCAAGAATTTAAATCAATATCTGTTATAGTTAACAAAATGTATGTTTTGCTACCGCGTGTATTGTGTTTATGTGAATGTATGCAGTCGCCAAGAGTACTTTTTATTGTGCCGCTCGATTCAACATTATTATCTGAAATCATTTAAGCTTGTCTGTCCATCCGTCTGTCTGTCTGATAATTGCCAACTCAAAGATCGCAATTTTGGAGATAATTTGATAAGATTGATAAGACAAAGTCTTCTTAAAGTGGACTAGATCGGATTACTCTTGCGCCCTCGTTTCCCATGTAATGGCTTGTTTTAGGAAAGTCATTATGCGAAAAACATTGCAAATAGTATTTTTGGGCATTCCAAATTGGGGTGATCCTTGCCCGGCTATAATTTGTTTACTTAATTTTTGCATATTATAGATATAGTTGAAGGCCGTAGCATGAAAAACAGGTAATAAAACAAGCCGTTATTCTAAAAAGGACAAAAAAAGGTAGAAAAACAAAATTTTCGTGCTCTGTAATATGGCGCAACTGATTTCTTCCATTTTCAAGGCAAATGTTTTTACCATATGGGCATGCGCGCCTTATAGGCGTGTCTTTTGAAAAGTTTTGATCAATTGGAAATTGTTTTGCAAACTTGCAGACGATGCCTTCATTTTTGCTGAAGCACAAATGCTACAAAATTGCGCAAACAGGCAGATGGACAGATGAATAGGCGGACATGTTTCGTTGTATTTCAAATTTGAAACCGCCCTCGAATTTGCATACTTTATGGGGCTTTTGAACCCCGTTTCTGCCAGTTATGCAGGTATTGAAAAAACAATTCAATTTGAATACACTAAAATATTAGGTAGGCGGGGTAAATTTTTTCCATATTTGTATACAAATGCTATAGAATATCTGATGGAATTTTTGTACATATATTTGCCATAGTTTATGAGCAATGAGCAAAAAAACACTTTTCCATTCCTTTTGAACAACAGAGATGTCCTCAGTTTACGTGGTGCTGTGGACGTGTCCTCCGACCGATTTGGCCCATTTTCAATGCCAACTTGCGTGCAAGAACTTTCAATGCTTCTGCTAAATTTGAAGTCGATAGCTTCATTTTTAACGCAACGAAAATGTTTACAACCGACATTATACAGACGGACAGACGAAGAGACGGACATGCTTACATCGTTTTAGAATTTGATGCTGATCAAGAATACTTAAGCTTTGCGGGGTCTCCGATGCTTCCTTCTGGGCGTTGCAAACGTTTTGACAAAACGAATTTACCCCCAATCTCCCTCGGTATAAAAAGTACAATACAGCTGAAAATTGTAAGCGCACGTCCAATATAGTCGGTACGCTGCGTAAGAAAACATTCGGCCGAGTTCAAAAAGTTTCTCAACCATCTACGGTTAACGGAAGAAAGCGTCCATTGCAATCTATGCATGTAGTACTGGTTTTATTTCGTTTGGCTGAACTCATCCAACACTACACTTCATTCATTCACATAAAACTAATTTAAAAATTAATGTAAAGGAAAAACTTAAGTAATACGTCTTAAAATAATACTAAAGCGACAATAAAAAAATAAAAGTAAAAATAATCAAGAATAAGAGGCAATTGCAAAAATTCTTACTAGCAATAAGATATCCTTGGCTTACAATTGAATAGGAAGCGAACAAAAGCGGAGAGGTGCTCTTGAGAAACTTTTTCAAAATTCAATTTCCTTGACAGCGAGTATAAGCGAGAATTATAGATTAGTGTGCAAACTACACATGACAGCAATACAGAATTCAATGAATCATAAAATCCACAAAGATTATTATCAACGCTGGATCAATTAATTTTACCGGCGCAAAGTTAGACTGTTAATATTGAGTTAATCGCTTGATGGAAGAAATCTCGCGGAAAAACTAAAAAGATCTTAACGGGCAATGAATAAATAATAATTGTTAGCGGACATTAAGTCCACAAGCGTGTTGCACGAATAGTATTAAATTGAATGACCTCTTGACTGGAATATACAGTGGAAAAATGCAAAGTATTTGGCAGGAGAATAAAATCCAAGGGATTGATCGGCATTTTTATCGTTATCTAATCAAATCGTCAAATACAATGAAAGAATCATTAGGCTGAGGTAAGTCGGTATCGTTGCGACGACGAAGAACATTGTAAGTCAATAGAAGTTAGCGAAGCTGGAGATGTGTTCGGTTAGGTGGCTGGCATACCTTTAATAAAAATGTTCTACGGGATACGCATCAACCGGATGCGTATTCGCATTCGAAAGTAAATTAATTTCATTCTGTGCAAATAATGCCAAGTTTTTGTGCTAAGAATAAAAGCAATCATGCCCATAGTAAACAAAAAACAGTTGGTTTCCTAAAAAAAATGGGCAGAGGAAAAAAAGGACATTTGCAAGAGTTGGGAGGAAAACCCATGGAAAGGAAAGTAGAACAAGCACAGGAAAATTTGACTTTTTAAATAAATATTTAGAAGAAGAAAACTTGCGAATATATATATATATATATATATGTATATATGTATATCTTGTTTACTTTATTTCACTTTAAATTATTTTCTTTTTTATTAAGAAAATCAAAATTTTGTTTACGTTACTTTTACTGAATGTTGTTTTGAATTTAGGAAAATCATATATGAAAGTGGAGCCAAGTTCGAATTGTTAACTTTGTTTGAATTATAAATTGTTTTTGTCGAATTTTTTGTGAAAATTTTATATAGAGTGCAACACAAATAGCGCAAATTGCTTTCATTTTCTTCCTCATCATTAATAGTTCAAAACCGTAGAATGTATTGAATTCACATTAATTCTGTCAGCCCACACTTACCAGAGACCGCGCAGAGAGGTCATGCATTATTATTAACTTTTCGTAAGTCATAGTCTTATCAGCGTAATCTTCTCATTGCAGAAAATCAAAACAAAATGTGTAACGCTTTAATAAACATTTATTTTGAACAAGCCTTACATACCTCATTTAATCCTTTGAAAGCTTTTTTTCTTAGAAGGCAACATTTTATTATTTTATAGCATGAAAATTATACAAATAAACAATTCTAAACAAATTGAAACTACGGTTAAAAGCATTTTCTAAAGAGATCACGGTTCGCCTGGCTAATCGTATAATTAGTTACAAAATATATAAAAAGAAGTTACTGTTAACACAAGTAAAGGCAATATAAAGGGTCAGGGTGTATTGTTAAATCTGAGGGTGGCCCATACGATTTTTCCCGCCACACTATATATGACCTTAAAACGGGTATGTTTATCTATTGTTCGTGTACGGCATTGATTTCAGTCGTCTCACAACTCTTTCAAAGCACATTTCGTTGACGACATAGTCTCTTTTAAAATCTTTTCTTACGGTATTCAATATGGTTAGCCAAAAGATGCATTTGCGGTCAATTATGCTTCATTTCTTAAAAAACGGAAGCAGTGTAGACGAGATTGCATTCGCCATTTGTAGAAGCAGTACTACGACTATTAGAACCGCCTACAATTGATGTAAGAAGTTTAGAGCCGACAATATCGATTTGAATGATGAAGACCGAAGCAGTCGTCCAGCAAACGACGGATACGGACCTGATCAAGAGCATGCTCGCTGAAAATCCGCTATAAAGTCTACGCGAGGTAGTAAATGCCACTCCCGTTACCCGGACAGCGGTACATAATTATTTAATTAAGATGGGATATGTGATCGGTATGAAGTTTGGGTTCCGCATCAATTGACGCAGACGGTGTCTCTACATGCGATTTGATTCTTCAGCGGCGTGAAAAAAATTTCTCTTTAAAGAGGATTCCCAATCGAGCCAAGGAAGATCGATCTTCAACTAATGCGAAGCCAGGACTTCATACTGAGAAAGTTCTCTTGTACGTTTGGTGGGACTGGAAAGGTGTAGTGTACTACGAGCTCCTTCCATAAGGCGAAACGATCAATTTGCAAAATATTGCAATCATTTCGATAAATTGGCGGCCGCCATAGCCGGAAAACGGCCAAAATTGACGAGATTTCGTTTTTCATCCCTTAAGACAGAAACTCTTGCAGTTTGATTGGGACGTTCTACCTCATCCTCCGTAATCCCTAGACCTTACCTCGCGATAAATGCCAGAAATTCGAAAGCAAAATAAAAACGCACCTCGACGAATATTTTGCAAAGAAGTCTCAACAATTTTGGAAAGAGGGTATAATGAAACATCCTGAGAGATGGAAGAAGGTAACAGAGTAAAACAGTTCATATATAACACAGTAGATCAACCTTAAACAACGAATATCGTCTTTTGATAGCGCAGCGAAAGAATGGAAGAAACTTATGAGACACTCTTACAAATTACGTGACCCTAAAGTTACTCATGCAACCACTTTTCCGAAAAAGACGTTAACGTCGTAAAAGACGTCGAAAATGTGGTCCGATACGATTCAGATAGTGATTCCGAACCGATGGACATAATCAAAAGTGACTCTATCCCATGTCCTTATGGGTATTGCATGCATCCGCACAAATTTAATATAACCCTTTCAAAGCTTTACAATTCGATCGTAGGAACAACATAAATGGCCTACGAGAAGTAGGTTTATAGGTAGATTTTTGTCTGCTCTTCCCCTTCTAACGTTTCAACTTGTAAAATTTTACCATGTAAATTTCCAATGGGTATAGTTAAGCACACAAATATTGATCAATTATCCAATTTTTCCTATTCAAGGTTTGGAATCGGTCGCAACAGTTTTAAGTGCACTAGACTTGATACTAAATTACTAACTCATTTTTACCATGCCGGTAAGGCATGGAATGTTTAAAAACATTGTTGAAAAATTCGAATCATCTTTTTTAGTACGGTAGTTACAGTTCCTGCATTAACACGGTAGTAACGAATAAATCGAGTATCGGCAAGAGGGCTTGTCATTATCCTTTTTTTTTTTGCCGCCTAAACGTGAAAGCGTATTTATTGCGTACTTTTTTAAAGCCAATCAGCGAACAAAACCCAATGCCGATGTTAAAAAAGTGTAAAACAAGTTGAAGCGTTGTAAACGGGCAGGGCCGGCCAGTAAATATCGTAAACTACTTCACAACGACTTTTACGAAATGCGACGATACATGGGAAGTGGTTTTAAAAATTATTCGATCTCGTTCATTGTCAATAGGCTTCACTATGCGGCTGAAACATGCCACGCTCTATCAATTTTCATTAAAATTGTTCTCTCTCTCAAATCTATTCGATACATAAGACCGATGCATAACCTGTACAACAAGTGTTATAAGTTATAAGAAGTACATTTTCTAGAAGATATTTAAAATTCGCTTTAAGACAAAATCAAATAATAATATTTCGTAGCCATTATTAAATGCAATTCAATATTTTGTTTAATGTTATATTAAAATCATATCCACAACATTATGAACATTATTTTAGTGATGTTACATTGCATGAATATATCGGAGAAATCGTTTGTTTTATATTATACGCAAGGCTACCCGTATGATTACACTATATATGTAGAAATAAAAAAATTTTTGTTTATTTCTTCTGGATACATTTTTTATTTTTTTTTGTTTTTAGTTTTTCTTAGTATACACACATGACCCATATGATTCCAGTGAATTAAGGTAATAAATTCTGAAGACCGCTCTCAAAAAAAAAACAAAATAACAATTTAAACGATTTCAAACATACAAATATGTGCTACAGAATCAATTGAATTGCGTTAGATGTGCGATATTTGTTTTTTTTTCTTTTTTTTTTTAAACAATTTCTTCATTAATTAATTATTATTAATATATTTGAATATAAAATTTTTATAGACTTTTTATAATATCTAAAAAAAAAAAAAAAAAAAAAAAAATTTAATGCTCATATAAGCATACGCTTAACACTAACTAACTCTTCCGATATGAACTTCATCGATTTTTCTAGCTTTAGTTATGACCAACAAATGTCGGCTCAACATATGCAGGATTTTTCCTTTTTTCTTTAAATAAATTAAGAGAACGGATTAATTTCTTATGATAACTGCCAGTTAAATAGATATTCGCGAAGTTTTCCTTTTTTTCATTCAAAAATAAAAAAAAAAAAAAAATATACATATATATATGTATATATAAATATATATTAAACGAGTCAACACACCTTCTTTAAATGATTTTTTAAGAAATTTTGATTTTTATTTTCTTTTATATTTTAATTTATCTTTTTAAAGATGCGTTTGTTCCCGTTAATTTTTTAAATTTTTCCTTATAGTCGTACTTAAAAAAAAATGCGATTTTCTACTCGTCAGCTACTTTACTAAACTAATGTATTATCGCTCTTCGTAACGCAAACATTTGTAAAGGCGCAGGCACCAACTACTACTACTACTACTACTACGACCGCTACGACTACTAATACTATCACCATTAAGTACTCTTCTCATTCGCATATAAACTTACTCAGCGGTCATGTATATCATGTATATAGTTGCGAGACTTGTGCGGCTTGTGTTAATCTACTCAACATACTCCCCCACATGCAATTTTGTATGAAGGCATTCATAGTGACACATCTACATGCACATAGATACAGATATCGTATTTATAGTTACTCGATTTGGTTCACCATAGTTTTCGTGAGCTTTTGTAATGGCATGTAAATAAACATTTCAAAGAACAAAGCATAAATGCATAAGTTCCGTCGAAAATTGGAAAAAAACTTAATGGCACTGATCGTTAAAGTTTTAAGGCATTACGCATCTCGTCAAAATTAAACAATTACAAATCTGGACTTGCCAAAAAGGAATTCTCATACCGTGAATATAGAGTAAAGGGCAACTTGGCTTAAAAAATCAATTTCTAATACCAAGCCTGTAATGAATCTATTACAGGTGATGGGCTTGATTAGTTGTGAAGACTTAAAATGCTTGACGCCTCCATGCAACGCCTATGTAGGGATATATCAACAATAGGGAATTTTAATCTTTCGGTAAAGCACGAGGCAACAGCATTCTTGAAATACAATTACACCGTCAATCCAAAATTGCAGAAAACTGATTGCCGTTGTGATTGAGGACGTTAATCGATTACTCCTCTAGAGTTTCCAAGTTCCAGATTGGACAATGTTGCTTGTTTACGTACCAAGGTGAATCTCTCAAAATAAATTTTTTTTAAAAAGTCATGATTTTATCCATATATTGCCAGCACACGAACAGCGAATATCCTGTGATCCGTATCCGATTCTTCCAATTTTTGCTTGCCAATTGTTACCGTCTTAACAGTTAGATGTTAGATGACGGCCGTATACGTGCGGTTAAACATCTGTGATATAAATATTGAACAGTGTATTAAGCAGTTGGCAAGGAGGGTTAATGCTTTTTTTCAGAGAAAAACCTTGACTGGGCAAGTTAATTTCTAATGAATAGGCATCATAAAGCTTTAAAGTAACTATAATATAGCGTAACTTACTTACTAACACTCACTCGAGTGGATATATATCACACTTGAATAAATCGCGATCAACGCCTTTATGCACATCGCGCATGTGGATTCAATGTTCCCCTTGATTAGAAAACTTTCTATTTTTACAGCGACGACATGGAATCGTCGCATGAATCGTATCACGATGTCTCTTGAAGTGTTCATCTGTGCAAAAGCGTGCTTCGCAGTAGCGGGAAAAAAAAGCGCCAAGAGATTCATGCCTTTCACCATGTTTCATACATGAGATGTATGCCTTTTCACATTTAGCGACTTCAGAGCTTTGTTGCAAATGGGACAGAAAAGTTTTGAGACACCATCATCAGTGGAGAGTTTCAGGTTGATTTTCAGAGACGGTGCATCCTTTGGTAAGTGTGGAATCGCCTCGCAAAATAGAATTTAAAACGAGTTCTCACAATTGACAAAGGATTTCCTCGACTGTCCTTACATCCCAAAGGTGAACGGAGAAATGTATTTTTTTAATAACTGCTTACTAATTTTCGAGAAAATAGTAAAAAATATTTTATTCAAACATCGTTTCCAACCTATGCTGACTTTTTCGGGCCAAAAGGCTCCCTACATCCAAAGTTTTAGTATCAATATGGCGTAAGAACCCGTCTGAAAGTCTTGCAGCGTAACAAGTTGTTACCACTTTCGACTAAACTTTTTAAAAAACTACACGAAAAACTGGTGTCTATTTGAGTACACAGAAATCGCTAAATCCACAAAGGTAAAAAAAAAAAAAAACAGGCAAGGGAGAAAAATTATTTATTTAGACAAAGAAATAAATTCAAAGACTAAAGCGTCAAATCACTATAGGCTTTGTTGAAAACTCTACCGCGGGACTCTTCGTCTGCTCGGTCACTCAGACGGATAAGTAATATCAATTTTTATTATTTTTTATTTGGTTGTATATTCTTTCAACCTCAATGCAATCGTTAATTAGAGATACCTTAATTTTTCATAATGTATGTAGGCTTTATTGGACTACTATATACAAGCAAGAGATCTTATTTATTTCCAATTGATTTATTTGACTTGTGATTGTTTTTTAACCGAATTTTTATGACAATAAAACGCGAAGGTTATCTAGAAGAATCCTAATAAACTTTATAGAAAACACAAGCGAGGCGATTGAACAGATGAAGACGAGCTTTTATGGTGCCTGAGGATAGAGAGACATAACAGCCCGTCTAATCTTATTGGATGACCACAATCAACAGGAACGACAAAACTAAAGGCGTTAATGCGTGAAAGCACTTTATATACAAAATTTCAGTAATTCCACCAAAAATCATAAGCATCACATGACAAACGCTCGCAAAAATTTTGTGGACTACTATAGCAATTTAACAATGACGAATTCTGTGGTGAACGAAATTGTCGGTAATAGCAGTAGACGGATCCTAGTCGGCAAATATAGTCGTGGCGAAAATTCAAAGTTGGAAGACGCAATGGGTAGCCCCAACGACGTGAACTATAAATAAAGATTTCAAAGCAACTGTTCTTTTCATCGCTTACTTACATCTTAAACGATTTTACAACCTCAAGAGTTCTTGTTACTTATATATCCCCCGTGATACATAATCTTTATCAATTTTGCTTTGCATGATTTCGTGTGCAAGTGAATCTTATCCAACCAAATTGACTAATAATATCAAAATAATGTTCCTGTATACAATCTTCTGTGTGAAATCATTTACTTTATTGCCGCGTTACGATTTTACTTGTACTCCACTATGTGTTTACATGTACTTATGTATATGTACATATATAATCAACATTTTACCTATATAGCCGCATGTGTTAATGTTAACAGTTACAAACTGCACTTATTTTGTAATAAAAAACAAGCACGTTTAGGAGTGAAAAAAAACGTGAGCAAACGTGTATTATAATAATATATTTAAAGTTTTTTTTTTTTTTTTGATCATTTTACAAAGGAATACCGTGTATAGTTTTTGATAATACATACAAAAGAAGAAAAGAAATAATAATAAAAAATTCAAAATATTACTAATTATCTAACTTGAATGCGAAAGGCAATAATGAGTGCTTTTACGTATATGTGTAGCGGTGCAGAGTATTTAAATAAACAGTTGTCGGTTTGTATTTATTATAAGTAATTAAAAGAAATAAAAAAATAAACCCCAGAGAGAAGTATAAGGCAAATTAATTATAAGATAACAATGAGTGCAAACGATTATAAAAGTGATTTAATAATAATTTCAAGTTAATGATAGAAATAAAATAATTTTTGTGTTTGCGATTATATGAAAATGTAGATAAGAAAAACAAAAAAAATGGAAGTAAAAATTGAAAAGACAGCAAAATAAACGCTCTTTAAGCTTTATTAAGAGAAGATTGAGTCGACGGATGCCACATTTTCCCCATTTCCAAAGCCTGCAGTTTCAGCAATTCTTTTTGACTATCCTTTGCTTGCAGCAAGAAAACGCTTTGCTAAATATTTAAAAAAAACCTTGCATTACTATTAAGATGTTTATTTAAAAAAAAAAAAAATACCTTAATTTCTTTGCTTGTTAAAACATCCATTTTATCATAGATTATTGCATGCAAACCAAGTTCCTTCAACATCTTTATGGTATCTTTGGAATTATTATCATCGCCCCAACAGAATACTACCAAACCGCGGTTCTTAACTAAATTAACCTTAAATGAGAAATCAAGAAAAATTATGAAAACTTTTTTATGGCTTTGTTTAATTTATTGCTAATACTTGAGTAGGATCCCTTAATAGGTCTTCCGTGTGAGCAACTATGCCAAGCAATTCCATTGCCAACGAATTAAAAACTGCGGTCTCTATACGATTGCCGCGCGGATCTAAATATTTTTTATATTTCTCTGTTACTCCAATAGTTAAAAACATAACTGGGTAACGATTTTGCTTGTAACGTAGCATAGTGCATATATCAGGATCGAAACAGGAAAATACAATATGTCTCTTGCCCGCCCTACGAAACACTACATCCAAAATACAGTCGACATAGAGATTACGATCGACCACATGCTCAAATTCCTCCTCCATGGTGCCGTCTTGCAGTCGTTGTGACCACTTTATCTCAATGTTGAAACCAACATGGAGATCTATAGCATCTAAGACATCAGCTAATTGTGGAAACGGTTGATGCTCCTGTAAATCATCATTGCTAAAAGATCGCATTTCCCGCGATTGCCCTTCTGCAGTATGATATACCTTTAAATTTTTTAACTGTTCCAATGTCAATTCTCGCATAGGTAAGGCCAAGAAATCATGTTCTTGTAGGGAATTCTTCGATTTCAACGAAACATATATCATAAAATCATGGTAGATGACCGGCACTAAATCTTTGCTTAATTGAACATCAAATTCGACCATATCTGCGCCGTGGTCAGCAGCGTTCTTGAGCGAGGTAATGGTATTTTCACGTATGGAGGAAGCATTAGCTTTAAAGCTAGTACCCGAGCCGCGATGGCCTACATCTAAACCCTGCCACTTATCATTCCAATAACGTTGATAAGAGACGCTCATATCCATACTTAACGAAGGCACTGGTTTTACAATTAAATATCCGAATTGCATCATACCTAATGGTCGATGTCTCGAAGCACAAGTGATGGCAACTTCCAAATGACCTTCAGATGACTTAAAAAGATTTGGCAAGACGTAATGATAGCCCAAATGGTGCGGGGGGTCCTCAGTATTAGCTTTTGAGCTATAGGTATATAAATCGATTAAATATGCGGTACTTTCAAAGTCGCCCACAGTCAAATGAAAGATAACCAAATCGTTGAATCCGCAAGCTGTACCAAATTGAGATTGAGGTCGTATTACACTATCTTCGGCATTAAGAACAACCACCTCCGAAAACGCAAACGCTGTGCCACCATCACCACCATTCTCTTTTGTATCATGAGTATCATTAGACAGAGAATCTTCTAATGGTGATAGAGAACAAGCGATCATATTATTATCAAGTCCATTTGAAGGTATACGTAAATTCATTGGTGTCACTTTTACATACAGCAAGCGGCGTTTCATGCGTTGTTTCCATATAAATGGAGCATTAAAGAATTTTAGTTGTATAATTCTTTCAGATGACAGCCAACCGCGATCTATTTTTTCTGACCCGTTCAAATAGCCAAAAATATCATAGCATTGCCGTGGAGGCTCATTGGCCAACTCCAATATCTGGCGAGGCTGGAGATGTGTTTCCCAGCGACGCACTATGGGTTTCCCAACATCCGGATCTACAGCACACACCAAATAACGATATTCGGTGTTGCGTTCGCGCGGTATCTGTACCAAAACACTCCATACGTTCGAGTCTGGAGAAAAGGTGAAAATATTGTTGTTGTTGCTAGGACCCAATTGCTTACATACCCTCGTCCTCGTCCTTAGACATGAGAACAGAATCGTTTAGTTGCCAATTGCCCAAAGACTCACAATTGCCAACCAAAGCCAATCTTTCATTGGCTATCATATCATGATTCATCAGAACCCTGAATTTCCAAGTGCGCTCAGTATTTGACAGATAATGACGGGCACCGCCAAGTGATGGAGCCACCATAGCATCACATGCCTCCTCTGTGGCTTCAGCGGCAAAGGACAAACGCTGCATTCTTCTATGTTTGTTTATAAGGGCCAGAGCTGTTCAGTTAAGTTTGACAACAATATATAAATAAAAATACGCAAATAAAAAGACAACACTTTATATTATAAAATATATTAGTGATATATATATACATAATAATATGCATTCAAAGTCGTCAGAAAAAACCCACAATGATGTGATATTCTGCTACGAATCAGTCTTTGAACAAGTCAGTATACATACAACTCACCTTAACTTGGATACAACTTTCTTTATATTTAATAATTAAAATGACTTTTCTAAAAAAGTACTCTTTGGTGTGGTGTAGGGCTGCGTTCTCCGTTAAACTTCCTCCCGTTGTTGTTTTTCTTTAATAGACTGTGTGAATTATTTATGATGACTGGCAAATCATTCGGATATTATTCATTTCTTTCAATGCTTTTCTTCACGATCGAACAAAAAAGAAAAGATTATCACGTTTTTTAGGTGTAGAATAAAGGTCAATGGATTTTGCGTTGCACAAAAAATATGTAATATATAAACTGCAAATGCACGGCATATTTAATACCGAATGAAAGATTTCAGTTTACCATGACTTTATACATTGGCTTTGCTTATATGCTATAATTTCTTTGTTATATCCATTTTGAATTGAATTGTCCACGTTAATGGAATGATTATCCACTATTCTTTTTTCGCAATAATTCGGGCTAAGACGACTAAATGTATTTCAACGCGTACTCATCAATTGTTTCCTGAAACGTATTTGGCGTTTCTCTTTTACTAATATCGCTTTACCAAAAAACAAAACAATGACACTGACAAATCTTTAAGGGGTTGACGAAACGAATTGTGAATGATTCCTATTGCAATTAAAGTCACAACAAAAGCGTTGACCACTATACATTAAACACCTTAAGTGCTAACACAATGTTTGCGTTATGCATTGTGCATTGGTCGCAGTAACGTCAAAGTCAAACGCATAAAGCAAAATCGTGATTAGCGTTTGTTTACGTAACTGAATCAAAATTGAGAGTAAAAATTTCTTTCAAATATAATTTTTTTGAAAAAAGGAAAAAAGATATTATTTGCAAGTAGAAGACGATTTCAATTATTTCATGCAAGCTGACACTATAGTTAATAATACTATATTTATAATTAATGACCAATCTTTAATAGGAAATTTCTGAGCGCCAAAATAGCGATGATGCAGTTGTTTGGATTATGATAAGAGAAATGATGTGGGAGCATTAACGTCGTCGCCGTAAATACAAAAATCGATGCCCGATCGATCGATAAGATTTATATATAAAAACCAAGGTGTGAACGGATTATTTATGACCACCGCCGACAATATGCGTTATATTGACGTTGAGTAACTTGAAGTGGGTATTCGAAAAAATCTAGAAATGTTTGATTTTCATCTAAATTTCACGAACAAGATGTTTATAGTTTAGATCGACACTAATACAGTTGCAATACAGTTGAGAAATCTACCTAACCCATTCAATTCAACATCATAAATAGGGGTGATGTATATAATAGCTGGAATGAATTATATTGCACTTTCTCACAGTGTACAGAAAAGCTTCGATGTTGGAGTCTGGATGCGAACTTGTTGGAATCTGGCTGCGAACTTGCCACGTAAAATATCTACATGTTGAACATTATTATTTTTTTGGGCTATGTCTTGTGATTGTTTTATTAAACATATATGGGTCATCTATATCTGTTAAGTGCGGATTGTTCGCAAAACTGCGGCAAGTTTCTCATTTGTTATAACTGCAATTAAAAAAAAAATTTACTTTGCGGTTTAATTTTCTTTGGCAAACAAGTTCGAGTGCGAGCCACTCTGCATATGAATTTTGGATAGAAAACGCGTAAATATTGTGGATCCTAATTCTGGTCCTCCTTATTATAACTAGTAAGGTAAACTGTTGCACCGTGGAGGTTATTATTGTTTTTATGACACGTTTGTTTCAAACATTGCCAACATTTTATAATATATTCGCTTTTTTAGACACGTATTCAATAGCACGTATTCTGGGAAAATAAACCATAGCGTTCATTTGTGATATAGTAACAGAATAATACATTAACGCATAACGCAGTCATTGCATTAGCGCTTTTATTGCATTTTCATCGCGTGTCGTTCAACAACTGTCAAAACGTAGTTCAATCGTACAAGTTCATATCTGGATGCAAAATATTGGCAAAATTTTAAAACTTCCATTTACAACCAAAATAGTGCTTATGAAAACAAAACAAAATAATATGATTAGTATTTCAAGCACCACATTACTTCCATGAAATAATGCAATACAAGTTTTGTGTTCAACTTGTAAAGCAAAATGCATATATGACAGAACGCCCGGACACAATTTGCGTTATACGTTGTGAGTGACGAACGCATTGTCAAAAGAAAATTGATTGTATGTTAATTAGATGGATATACAACTTGCGTTGCGTTGTACGCGAACAAAAATTTTAAATAATATTTGAGATAGTTAAAGCGACTGACGAAAAACAGATATACATCAATTTATCGAACTAATTTAGGCGATGGTAACACTAGCGAATTAAGGACACACAATTCTGCCGCACGATTGGGAATACGAACAGAACGCCTTTGATAAAAAAAAATAATAAATAACAGAAATATTTGGCGCAAACGCACTCACACACAAGAGATTGTTAGCAAAATCAATAAAATTCGTTTTGTTATGTTTTAATTTTTTATATAAAATGGAAAAGGCAAAGCCCAAACTATTAATAATAAATAAACAAAAGTTAGAAGTCAGAAAAAAAAGCAAGCCTAACAAAAGGCTAAATCCGTATTCAAAGCAAAACAAACACGGGAGGAAGAAAAAATATGAAAAAAAGTTTATCAAAAAAAAACTTTTCAGTAATAATACATATATACTGTTAACGAGCGTCGGCAATAGTGGCTTTTACTGTGCGTGATTCATTTAAGTAAGCCTTAATAACGGAATTAAGACTTGTGGCATAAAGAAGTGAATATATTGGTGTTATTTAGCTCAATGTTGTCTTCAATATCTTCAAAAATTAATTCGCACAAGGTTTTATAGGAATGTTCGAAAATAGGTTTTGAGGAAGGCTAGAAACATAGGTAAGCTTAAAACTCAAATAAAACAAATATTAGTCTAAATTTCATAGAGAGTTCAAAGCCATGTTGTTCGAATTCTAATACATTTCCTATTTCGAAAATACTATACCACTTGCCGGGTCGGCCATTTTTCTTTTTTTTTTCCTTTTCTAGATTGCTGCGTGTGCCGTCGTTAATAAAATTCTCGATATGGCAGCACTTTGTTTTTTCTTTTCCGTAGTATTTGTCATAAAAATTGGACTATTCTTATTTGCTATTGAAAATTTTCAGTCAACCTATTGAAATATGAAGCGTAATTTTTCGGCTCGTAAAAAGCGTTCTGATGGGAAATGGGTTGTTTTAAACGAAGAGGAATTAATACGTCAAGTTGCACTTAGACCAGTATTATACGATCGATCTTTGAAAGGCTACCGTAAAGCATCGTCGAGACAGCAATCTTGGTTAGATGTAAGTTTAGCAATGGATACGACTGTTGATGAATGCCGACGAAGATGGCGTTCTTTGCGTGATTCATTTGCTAAGCATTATAAACAGGTACAACAGAACGCGAATTGTGGCGATGGTTCTCATAAAAAACCACGTAAATGGATATTTTATGATCAAATGAGTTTTTTAATACCCTACATAGACAACGCAAGGTAAGACTATGTGGAACTGCTTGTATTAAAATGTAAATTAAATATAGTTTTCATAAATTCAGCTATGGATTAGATGACCAACTACTAGATGATTTGCTAGATAATTCTGACGATGGTCAAAGTATAGTCTGCCAAGCTCCAGAATGCGAGCAAACACCAACCGCTGCTGACACTAAAGGAGGAATCATTCTTAAAGAAGAACAACGGAATCACGTCTCGGTACAAGCGACTGAATGTATTGCGCTCAATGGGGAAGAGAAAGCTAGCAACCAAAATTCCTCCATACTAAGTGTGCAGTGCGCTGAAACTAACACCGAAGAAGACATAGATTCCGATGAAAAGTTCTTACTTAGCTGCGCCCATATTTTAAAACGTTTCACAAATCGTCAGAACTCTTTGGCACGCTTAAGAATTCAACAGATCTTATACGAAGTTGAATTTGGTACCAGCGAAGATGTTTGCACCACCTCTAAATTGTGCGCATAATTATTAAAAAGTTCTTTCAATTAAGAATTTTCTTTTAAAAATAAAGTGCGCTTCAATGCGGTAAGCTTATGCGTTAAAAATATATTGTAAGTTCATTAATAAAATTTTTTTCTTATAGTAACTAGCAGTACCTGATTGTATATTACCAAAAAATAATAGTTTGCGACAAATTTATACTGCTTTATACGAGAGAACTTGAAACCAAGTTTGGCGGTCCCTGTTAGCATCTAAATTTACAACATTAGTCAAAGCGCAGCAGCTGTTATATTATAAACTGAACATGGTCTCAACGAAACATTTTGGGTATGTCTTAAGTAAATTTATTATACGTTCAAAATATTGGAAACTTATCGGTATTCATATAAACATATTATAAGAATTTATCGGATTTACGGTACAACTGTTTATTTATTATAGATGTAACTTACTTGCTAATACCACAACATTTTTAGAGAAGTTCCTTATCAGTAAAATATCGTTTGAGATATTTCAGAAATTATATGTACATAGAAACGATAGGTAGAATTACTTACTGCATCTCCCTTAACACGGTTATATATAAGACCTATCATTGGTTATATGAGTTGAGCCGAAGCTTTGAGCATTTTAAATTTATTGTAACGTGAGAATGGTCTATCAAAAATGTTTATTTTCGAGATAGATTTCTCCTAATTATTATTATTCACCTTAATAAGTAAAAGAAGTTCAATCTCTTCTACATGTAATGCAGGAATATGGCGGGAATGTATTCCGACCCGCGAGGTCGGCAAAGAGCCTTGTTTGATGGCAAACTGACGCCTTAGTTGTACTATTTTTTACGCCCTTACCCCGTCGCCTGAGCATTTATTCAGTTTCGCGTACAATGGGCTCGACATTGTGAGCAGTCACTTGATGTGCCGATTCTAGGTGGGTTTGCAATACTGCCGCGGTGCAGATTGTGCATTGTTGGTCAGCTTGCGACAAGCTTCTCCTCTAAATGTTTGGATTCATCGTTTTTTATAGTTTCCGTTCTGTTTTGAAGTAAGAAATATAGTCTCTTTTTTTTCGGAGTGGGTTTGAGCCCGCGTTCATGAGTTCGTTTCTTTTGTAGTTTAAGGACAACGTTGAAAAGAATTCTCCTAAATGGAAAAGTATTAATAAGTTTTAATTTTTTTTCTTTTTTGTATGCATGACCAGCGTTATAGGTTTCTTATATTCTCATGCGGCAAATAATTTGCAACGAAGGAGTAGCGTTTCCGAATTATGTCTTTCCACGTAGGTTTTGGCCGGCGCTGCCATATGGGGACGAACATAGTCATATATTAGACCAGTTTTGCGTGTTGGAGTAATAATGGACGCTTTTATCCTTGAATGCTCATCTCAATGCCATCAATTGGGTTCGGTAGACTTTTCTTTCGATGCTTCACATATTCCTTATGTTGATCATAACCAGTGCGTAACAAATTTCTAAAAATCCAATCCCAATATCCATGAATCGAAGAATTTTTGTTATTTACTCCTCTGCAAGTTTCGAATATACGAGAATAAATATCCGGATGTTTTGCGGTACTGAGTGAAATTAGTGAGCTTTCTAGGTTATTAAAAGCACCCAGTAAGCAATGCAAATCGTGCATAATAAGTGTGTGCATATATTGTGTGTAATATGTATAACATAAAAAAGGGTAAGATAAATATATAAATAAACAAAAATAATAACAACAATATTAATACATTTTAACTATATTCTAATTATCTCCTAATTTCATCGATACATTGCGAGCCGGTCTTTCCCCCCAATTTTCCCCGCTTAGCGCCAATTTTATTATATATCCGAGCAGGTTCCTGGGGTGCTCGGCTCCATTGCTGCAGGAACCTCCTCTTTGGAAAATGGGAATATGGTTCACAATTGTCGCCTGTATTCTTGCTCCCAAATTTTCGTCTGGCGTGTATTGGTTAGTGATGTTGTAGATCATTTCGTAGACGGTTTTAAATGTTGTTTGGATGTCTTCTCTCAAGAATTCCCCCTTAAGATATCTGCTGCTCAGGATGGTGTTGTATGTATTTTTGATGACGATGCTTCGGCCTAATTTTGTACACGCGTTTCTTTTATCTATCGTCAAGTCCTCTAGACATCGTTGGCATCTTAAGTGACCACTGCGGTATTTGCTCACTGTATAGCCCGTGAGCAGCCGGAAGTATTCTATGTGTATAACACGTTTCGTATACCACCGGTGGCTCACACGCGAATGGTAAAGCAAAGTACGATTTTTGCTGCCGCCCAATGAAGCGAAATAGGGAAAACTGCGCCGTTCTTAACGTGTTAATTGATCTCCAATGTATTTCCCCACTGCTTTTCATTTTCTATGGTGAGAGATAAATAATATCTGCCCTCACGTGTGAAATGGCCTCGTTCACAGTTATATTTTCGGGTATTGAAAAGGCATTCCATCTCTTCTAAATGTAGGAGTGTTTGGAAGCGGCTCACGTAATTGTTGATGTTCACTTCTTCATTAAGATTCGGAAACATACATTGAATTGCTTCCAATATTTCCTCTTTGCGACTTGAAGTACGATATGCCCGTTGTAGTCGTTCGGGTACATTGAAGCTTCCGATGGGTAACTGCAAATCAATTAAATTTAAAAATTCGAGATATCGTTATGCCAAATATTAGTAACGGATTTAAACGCATTGTTATAAATAACAAGACGTCCAATTTTATTTGTAAGATCGGCAGTTAACTGCCTAGCAGCCACGTCCCAATCTATCCGTCTGCTATCAAGACCCCATAAACTTGGATATTTAAAGAGCTGTTTACTAAAAGTAAGGTTTGGTATGAAGGCCATAATGTAAATAATATATAATTACTATAATAATAAACTAAATAATTCAACTATAATAATGATGATAATAATAATAATAATAGTAATAATAATAATAACCTGAAAAGAAAGTAAATACATGATAAAACAATTGGTTAAAATCACTTAAAGTCGCATATATATATACATATAATTTAATATTTTGTTATAATACAAAAATGAAACAACGATTTACTAAATTTTTTTCAATTTCAATTTATGTATAAGATAAATTTACATTTTTTACAATATGAAGTTAAATTTCAAATTAAAAATAACTTCTACACTAATTCACTTAGGCACTAATTGTCTGCCATGTTTTTTTTTGTTTATTTTTTTATTTATTTCTTAAACACTGTGAACTGTTTTGCAGAGGTTGATGAAAGCTGCTTTAAAAGGAACACTTCAGAGCTATCATCAACCTCTGAAGGCAGGCTCCCTTTAAAGCAAACGATTTATTTTTAAGTTTGTTTTTTCGATAAGGTTTGTACGCCCGATAATAAATAATATTGCTCACTTCACGCTAATATGATTGTAGTGTGCGATAATACTAACAGCAATAACGAGGTACTGTTTGCATTCTTGTTGTGTTAAATGAAAGTACCGTTAAAGTATGTTTTGCAACGACACGGATGAAGAAATAACCAAAGAATGGGGTTATTTAATTTCTGCCAATCATATATGCCCTGTACAAGATATTCTTATGGGTGGCTACATAGGTTGGGGAGGCTACCCCATCCTCTATGATGAAACAGTAGACGATGATAAATTGAAATTGCCTAAAGAATTAAAGGATTAACCTTATGGTTTTCATTCCGCGCAATTTAGTTTGCGATGAATATTTCAGTGGTCAGCTAAAAAATTCGATGGCCTTGTAAGAGTATTATTGAAGTACATTCGGGTGATATTATGTTGGGAAGTGTACCCCGAAAAGTTTAACAAGCCCCATAGGTTATACAAAAATTGAGGAAAAACAATTAATTTTCAAGTCCTTTAATTGTTGGAATATAAATTAAATTTTTATGATTTGACCAAAAAAAAAAAAGTTGCAATAACTCTGATAAATTCAATTAAAATCACGTAAATTCATCATCATTTATAACCGAAATTTATTGAACGAAATGTCAACTCAAATCCTCAAAAAACTTCTGAATAAGCGTAAGAGTTGATTATAATATAATAATAATAACTTAAAGAAAATGGAAGAAATCTTCTCCATGCCAAATATATTAATTTATCATAGCGAAATCGAGATAATGTTCCACGAACTCAAATAAATAAAAGAGATATAAAAGTTAATTTTATATAAAATAATAAAGAAAATAGTACACAAAATAATTTTCTCATAAATAAAAACCTAGCGTACTCCGCTAAAAAAATTAAAGCAGCTCCTCTATTAATTTTAATGAAATTGACGATAGTGTAGTGTACATTCTCACATTCCACATTTTCCATTATTTTCTTCGTTAAACTCCTGTTCAAAGTGATTTCCAACTTCTTCACCAAAAAAATCCAAATTCCGTTCTCCAAAAGAACTGTTTTTCTGTTCTTTCCTCAAAAGAAAAAAAATTTCTCCTTTTTTCTTTTTTGACAAAAAAACCCCTCTCCTCTTTTTTTATTTTTTTTATTTATTTGTCCATTTATTTTTTTTTTATATAAACTAAAGTGTCTATTACAATAGTAAGACGCGTCTCCACCGATATCTGCACCATCCTATATTCATTTCGGAAAAATGTAATAACCGATTTCAATTTCGCCTTGTTGCGCTTCCAATTTGCGATATTGATTTTTTTTTCGTGGAGGACAGTTGTTAATTTTGTGATAGCAGCGATATACTCCTAAGTTCTCTTCACTCTGGGGCCGGTGATAACCTTTTGGTTAATCGCAGATTTTTAGAATGATGGCGTGATGTTGTCGAAAAATGCTATCATCTCTGGAAAAGTTCTCGGTGCGACGACTGACGGTAAGACCCCTCTATTTAACCAGAAACTGCAAGCGGCGGTGTTTTTGTTCTTCAAGTACTCTATTTTTAATTTTGACACGATTTTGGCGTCGAAGCGCGGGTCTTTTTTCATCTTATCGAAATGTGCGGCCACTAGATGGATGTAGTCGTACATTAGTCGTATTTTGCATTGTCTTCCGTCCTTTCCTTTTCTTAGGTATATTCCGTATATGAAAATTCGGAATGTTTTCCGATTTGGGGTGGCTCTATCACACACGACGCCTTTCACCTGTAGTCCGATTTCCTGCGCCAGCTCGATGCTTGCGTTCAAAAATTTTTCGGCTCCACGGCAAATGATGAATGGATATGTGTTGACGGCGTTCAACATGCTACGCACTCCGAATATGAGTATTTTCTTTCTATTTTTCTTTTATAATCCGATAGTCCATCGTTTCAGTTAAATAGTAATCGTCGGTCGTCGAACTGCCGTCTCCATAAAATATTCCATATTATGCACCATTCACCAATAACTGAAGCACTGAGACTCCTCACTTGGGCCACATCAAAGGCACGATCTCTATTTTAACACACGAAATTGTACAATTTTGCCAGCACGACGCACAAAGAAACTGTTACTGTGTTATGATTGCCATCACTGAAAACATTGCGAATTAACCTATGTATTGTTATATTAAATTATAAATGTCATATGTAGCTCTGGATTGAAAGTTTTGTTTGCAAATATTTCCGTGAAATAACTTGCATCGCCTTTATTAGCGCAATAATTTTTTTTTTAATTCTTTCAACACTTTACTGAAATGTCATCCGTTTTTTTG